CTAAGGAAAATGTGGCACTGACTCACTAGGGAGACCCACAGGTCTGAGGTTCTGCAGGTTCTGAGGACCTTGGAGCAGCACCTTCCTGCACTGAGAGGAGTTGGGTTCAATGCCCAATGCCTGGTGTGCATTTATTTTTGCAGTATTTGCCTCTTACCTTTCATTTTCCATAGGGCTTGTGAGCTTCATGAGCACCCAATTAATCCCAGGGTTCTTCTTGCTGCCCTTGCAATTCCTGCTCCAAACCAGACCTTTCTCCCTCCACTTGTCACCCTGAAAAGTCCTTATCACCTGCTAAGATTTCCCTTCCTCTAAGTCTGTCATACATGTCATACATGTTTGTGTTTATCAACCTGCACCTCCACTCTTGCTAGACAGAAAATTCTCTTTTTAATCCATTACATGAATAGGCTAGATTGTTCTCCAGGGTTCTCTGGTCCCATTTCTGCCTTGTAGGCTCCCAGGCTGCTGCACAAAAAGATGGCAGGGCCAGGCTGGGATGTCCAGCAGTGTTTGTTTGCAGTGACACCTCATAGGTATTCAGGCTGCTCTCCTCCTTGCTGATGAGCCTCATCTACAGAGTTTTCCTGCATAAAAAACTGCACATGTCAGAGGGGAAAGACAAATGACGATGGCAATAATGTAGAAGAACATCCTCTGAACATCTGAGAGGGCTGAATCATGAACCACTTTTATCAAGGCATACAAGAGGCACTTAAACATTAGCTGCTGCTTATAAATAATATTGGTATGTTAAATACACACATTTTTTCACAGTTTTATAAAGCGAGTGATCTCTATTTGCTTTCAACTGGAAATCATAAAGTAAAAATCAATGAGCTTATATCAAGCTTGTATTATGGTCCTTGAATTGCCAACTGACTCTATAAAAATGACTGTTTCTTAACGAAGATATAATTAATTGGATTGATTTGGCAACGTTTAAGTGCCTTGTCATATTTTGACTGCTATGCAGTGCTTATTGATTTTATAGAACACCCTGTAGATAAATGTAATGATTAATTTCATTTGGTTTACAAGAACAGAAAACTTCTATGCAGAACTGTTCTATTTTTATTAACTGCCTGTACCTGGCAGGAGCATGGGTCTAGCTGTGGAGCTACACCTGGTGGCCTGGCCTTCCCTGGTTTCTTGTTTACTCCAAAGAAATTCCATTTTTCTCCCAAACTCGAGGGGTTTGTAATTTCAAGGACTTCCAAGAGAGTATTTTTCAATATTTATCACTTGAGTGTTTCTGGTTTCTTTCTGAAATAAAGAATGGTAAGTTTTAGTCCATGTTGCCTGGTTTGCAAAGCCATCCACCACAGGTCCAAAATGCAGGCTCAGATCATGAACCCACTTCCAAGTGAGTGCCTGCCTTGGATAGAGAAGGAGGCTCCAGGCTCCTGGTCAGATCCCTTCTGCCCCTCCCTGTTGTGCCCCAGCAGCGGCAGCCCCAGGAGAGCTGCAGAGGAGCATCCCCACCTCAAATCCAGCTGGGGGGTCTGGCTGCCCCCCAAATGGGGCCAGCCAGGGCTGAGCTCCCCCTCACACACCCCACAGCTGGGTGCACAGTCCTTGGAGCTGTTTTTCCCGAGGCTCTGGGGTTATTTTTAGCCATAGCTACAGCACTCGGTGCCACATGGCTGCCTCTAAATTATTTGGTTGCTTAATTGGCGGAGTAAATTGATGTAAAAGCAAAGTGAGGGAAAAGGAAATACCAGCAGCCTCCCTGGGGACACCTTGCCAAGCCTGGGGGTGACAGTCCTGCTCACTGTGAGCTGTCTCGGCATGTGCTTGCACCAGCAACGCGGGGAACGGAAAGGATTTCAGGCCCGGGTTTCAGATGCGCTCCGGGGTTCCTCCCTCGCCTCTCCGGCTGTATTCTTGCCCCCACTGCTGGCGCAGGCGGAAAGTGCATCCCGAGTGCTCCGGGCATCTCCCGGGCCGCTCGGAGACGCCGGACCCGGGCGCACACGGCATCTGCGAGGCACCGGCATCGGAATCAAAGCTTTGATTTTTGTGTTTGCCCTCAGAGCGGGTTAGTATTGAACGTCTGATCCACAAGGTGTTTAATGAGTCTCTGGGTATAAACTGGCAGAGCAGAAATCTTTTGAGTAGCCTCAGCTGGCCAGAAATGAAAACAGGGAAGTCCCGTTGTACAGTCTGGATGGAAACTGCTAAAATCATATCCCAGGAACTACCCATGCATTGCATTCCTCCAAATCAGTGCTCTCTTCCATTCCAAACACAGATGCTCATTTCTGTGTGATGTTGGGAAAACACATGTGCCAAGCATGTTTGAGTAGCTCCCTAAAATAAAATATCTGGATTGATATGAGAGCAAAGAAGTGGCTGAGGATGCTCAAACCAGGCCACCAACAATTTGATTCCTAAACCCCACTGCTGAGAGGGGGCAGTTGACAAGATCGCCAGTTCTCCATTCGCTGCTGTAACATCCTAAACTACACAACTGGACAGCAAACACCACCCAGTATTAAAATCCACTCTCCTATACAGAGTCTGAGCCATGCAGACCTCAGCCTCCAAAGTGTTGCCCCCTGTCCAGCAGTGCTGCCTCAGAGCAGCTCTTTGGCTCCGCTCCCCTCTGGCTGCCCCTTCCCAGCCCCAGCAGGGCTCTGCCCCGGCTCTCAGCTCCTGGTGCGGCTCCCGGGGGTGCTGAGCGAGCTCGGTGCGGCTCCCGGGGGTGCTGGGTTCCACACGAGGATGGAAGGGGCCATCCCCAGGGCAGGACGTGTCCCTGTGCCTCAGGCTCTGCCTGCTCCCTCCTTCCTGGCGCTGGGAACTGCACTGCCAGCAGCCCGCAGTTTCCACGCTGGCAAAGCAAACATCAACAAAACCACGAGGAGGATCAAGGAGCACAGCACCACCCAGGCTCGGGTACAGGGCAGGACTGCCTGCCTGGGGCCCTGCAGGATGGCTGCCCTGGGAGAGGGTGCCCCATTTCCATGATTACTGAAACGTTTGGGGCATTCAGTCTGGGGCTTGCAAGGCATCTCTGCAGGCATGGACCACGCCAGGCTGGAGGTGCAGCTTGTCTCCCCCAGCACCCAGCTGGACACAGCTCCCCACTGCTGCTTGTGCTGGGGCTGCTGCAGGACCAGGCCATTTGAAGCATTACCTGGAATAACAGGGATATCAGAAGATTGGGAATGTACATTCAGCCTGGGGCTCATCTCTGCTTGGCTGAGCACTGGCTGTATGCTCAGGGCTGCCAGCAGCACAGGAGCAGGGCAGAGCAGCAGAGACGCTCCCAGCAGCAGCAAGGGAGCCAAGGTGAGGAGCGAGTGCCCTGGAAAAGCCACCTTCCCCCCTGCTCTGCCCCCAGCTGCACCTTGCTGCTAAAGCTGCCTCTGAACACGTCCATCAAGCTGCAGGGGTGACTCCTGTGACTGGGACTCGCGCAATTGCCGTGCTTCTTGATCTAAAAATATGGGTAAAATTTTGCTCTTGAGACACATTGTAAAAATGTCACATTTCAGGCCTTTCTCACAGCAGGGATACGGCTCCTTGTGAGCTCTAACTCAGCTCCTGCTCTGGGGGGGACTGGAGCGGCGGTGCCTGCCTGAGGCACTCACAGGTGAGCTGGAAGGGGAAGCAGGAGCTCAGCTGTGCCAATGGCAGCAGCTTTGGCAGCAGTGCTGGGTGGAAACCAACCACAGAGGCTTATAAATCACTGCTCTTTTCAGGCAAATTACTTCCCCTTAGGTAAGAGGAAACAAAGTACCCAGGAGGAGAGGTCTAACTTTTGGGAGGTTATCATGGTTTCATCCCAGAACACCTGCCAGCCCTGGTGTCAGCGCAAGGTAACCAGCACATGGCATGAATCTGAGAGTATAAAAGATGTGTCATTACAAGAAGGAGTAGGAGGAAAATAAAGCAAGTTGACAGCTCACATCCTATGCCATAATCCTAGAAATTGTTAATATTTACAAAATTAACAACTAATATAACCGATGACAATCTCACTCCTCCTGGTTGTCATGAGGATATTAACAGTTACCACCCGCTACAAACTGGAAATATTCCCCGTCTCTGGAGCTCCTGCTGCTCTGCAAGCGTGGGGATGGCACAGACTTGGCCTCCCAGCTTTCCTACCAGCCCCAAGCCAGGAGCCAGTGTGGAACACCCAAGCACTGCTGGAGCTGGAAGTGCCTCCTGACCTCACTCTGCTGCCTGGGAGCAGAGGGTCAGGCAGAACAGGAACATTTTTCTCTCCCCAGCTCCTCCAGAAGCCCAGGATCCAGCCCCATACAGAGATGGTGGGGAGAGCCCAGAGGAAGAGGATGGGGAGTACACTGCTGGAGGGAGGAGAGGTGAGGGCTGCACCAGCTCAGATCATGCCTTGGAACAAGATGCCAGTTCAGGAGAAACCCCCATACTGCTGCTGTGAATTGCCAGCTGTAAGGATGGAAGCTAATTGATAAGAAGATGCTACTGCCATTTCCTTAACACGAAAGACCTGACTAAAACCAAAATAAAGGTGCTTGAACACCAGTGACTCCATAGGAAACTTATTCCTAGACTAGCAATCACAAAAAGGTGAAATTTTAAAATCACAGTTGCTATTGCTCACGTATTTTCTAAGTAAGAAGGAGAGCAAGAGCAAGTGCTCATTTTCTCAGAGCTGAGTTTTTTTTTGTCTAAGTGTTACCTGTCCATCAAGAGGACTGCAGGAGGCAATACAGGGTTGACACTGTTAAGTACAAGAAAATTGTGGATGGTGCCTGCACAAGCAAGTTTGCTGGTTTCATTTTGCTCTACCCTTAGCAACATTAGTTCCCCAGGCCACTCTTTGCACAGGCACAGCATGTCAGCTTTATGGTAATTTTAACAGGTTTCCTCTGTGAGGGTGTGTAGTACACAGAAACCTTGCCATACTCTTTCCAGTTACTGTATGCAAAATCAAAGCAGAATTACCAGAATTAACTGTTTTCAAAGAGCTCCCAGCTACAGGAAAACTGTAAAAAAGCAAATTTTCTCTTCACAGGAATAATTTTCTCCCTTTGAAGGGACGTGCTCTTGGCTGTATGAGAGGGTGGCCTGAACAATGACCATGAATGAATGAATGAATGAATGGCAGGCAAAGCTGCCTGCTTCAAGGCAACCTGAGATCAGGGGTCTCATTTTCAATTAGGCCAGTGAAACAACACTGATCAGTGGAGCAAACAGCAGCTTTTCCAGAGCTGGCACAGCACAGGTGCTCACCTAGATGCAGGAACCAAGGACTCATTGGGAGGCGCCTCAGTTTGATGGGTCCTCTGGAGAAATGACCAAGGGGACCATCATGAGCTGCACTGTTCATTAAGTGGTTCACCACAATAAGATACAGCAACTCCTTTCCTTGAGTACAATGGGGAAATAAATGTGACCCAGTAAAATAGAGCATTGTTTTTAAATATTAAAAAAGGAATGACCTTAGAGAACAGATACATAAAATCATCATACTCACATAAAAACTGTTGTGTAGTTTGCTCTAAGAAGCTGGCACATTTTTAGAAACACTAAAACCTCAGCACATTACATCCCAGATAGTTTGCTTTTCTTTCCCTTGTCTTTTATTCTGCTCTGCACCTCTGAAGAGCATTCCTTTACAACCCATTTTGTTTTCTGTTTGTAAAGCTTTATGCATTTTAGGTTTTCATCATTTTCTAAGATCATTATCTTATTTTTTCATCTTTCTTTTCAAGAAACTTCCTTCCCTCACCCCCCCAATCTGCCACCATCTTTGGTAGAGTTCTTCTCCCTCTAGGATTTCTTTTATCCTTCTCATCTTTATGCCTTTCACTTACTCTTCCCCAGGCCCTTCACTCCTGCTTTTGCTTGTCAAAACTGTGTTTCTTCCTCCTTCATGAGGGAAGAAGTGGGAAGATTGGGTGGATTTTTTTGCTATGAGCACACAAGAATGCTCCAATCAATACTTTGCAATCCTGCAGAGGAGAGCTTGCATGACTCTTCCAACACTTTCAAAATTTGCAACTGCAGTTAATGAAAGTCTGACTAATGCTTGAAAACCATAAACTTATTTTAAAGCAGGGCTGTAGCTTCCCACCAATAACATCATCAGGCCTTCCCCAACAAGCTTTTTTTACATTAGAGACACTACCCCATGCCTTGAAACACTTGTAGCCCTGCAGCAACTTCTTTGTGCCTAAATTCCATGTCATAGAGTAGGTGACGGACACAGTCTCAGACACCACATGAACCTTCAGCTCTGGCTGGATTTCTGCTCAAACCAAAGGAAAGCTGCATTGCCACTCCACTCACAGAAAGCTGTGTCTGTGTGTACCCAGGGAGACTTTGGAAGACTGGTGAATCCACTTCAGCTGCAAGTGAGTGCATGCAAAATGTCTCCAAGTCTCAAAGCAGGTGTCTGGCATCTGTCAGGAGAGCCATGATGCAGCCCTGAGGCAGTGCCCTCTTCCAGGGCTGGGGTAGCATTCACTTCCAGGGAAGGATCCAGAGTCTCTTCACCCCTTCCTGGTAGATGTGCCCTTGCTATTTATTTTGTTCCAAAACCAACTTGCAATAGCAGTTTGGGGATCTTTTGACATTTCATTGACATTTTTTCAGGGCTTTTTGTAGCATGATTATTATTGTCAGTAGGCCTCTCACGTGTTAATCCCTACACCACATTTAATTGTGTACATTCCAGATGGGGCACAGTTTTTGCTTTCAATTCTTAACATGCATCCAACCTAGCACCTTCACTGGCCTGTTTCAGTTGGACCTGTTCCCCAGGCAGATCACTTAAGGGGTCTGGAAAATCCTATGCAGATAGAATTGACTGTTGCAACAGACAGAATTGACTGTTCCTGACAAGCCTACCATTTTTACTGTTCTCCATCTGCCTACCAAGACTGCCTCATTCTTCTGAAGTACTGAAGACCACTCAAAGTGTGTCTAAAGCTTGATGCCAACTTCTTAGCTCTGCTTGCCAATTTGAAAAAAATCTGTTGCAAAATATATGTCAATACATTTATTCCCAGACTAAGGCAACCGTGTTACCTACATGCTGGGGCAATCCTAAATGCACTCGAGAGACTGGTGCTGATCACAGAAACTTCAGATTGGCTTTTGCAGCAGGCATCACTTGTAGCATGAGATATTTAAAGCCTTTTCTTTTCCCCCTGAACAAGCAGGCCTGTCTCAGCAGTCTGGGCACGCTTCCCAGCTTGCTGGCCGGATGGGACGGCAGCCGACACTCAGCCATGGGTGGCTCGGGTATGGAATTCATTAAATTGGAAATCAAGGGCAGGAAGGTCTCGACACAAGTGATCCAGGTATGAATATCTGTTCTTGTACCTTGTTGGCTTTTGCTCTCCTAAGAATGAAATTGTTTGGGAAACACTGCCAGCAGATTTTAGGCTTTTCTTCTCCATGGGTAGAACCTGAAACTATCTGTGCTGTTAAACTGTTTGCAGCTTCTGAGCTTGGTTGTGGTGCCAGCTTTGTATAGATAAATATAGAACCTGTGGCATTTTCAAAAGCCATTTGGAATAGCTCTTCAATATAAGCACTTTAAGCAAGATTAAATACATTATTTGGGTTTTCTGCCTAAAGAAAAAAAATCACTTGAAAAATTGGCAGAAGTACCAGTTTCTTCAAGTGACAAAGTTCTCTTCCCCAAACTGAGTCTGGCAATTGGCAGCTCTCTATAAAGACAATTTTTTTTTCTCTCTCCCCTCCCCTACTCCTTGATTTCAAAATAACCTTCAAGGCAAAAAGAGCAGTCCACAGCACCATAAAAAAAGAAAAAGAAACTGATTAAAATGTTGCTTGAACAGAATGCTTTGCACTTTAACTAACTTGCATCAGATAAAATGCTGCCACATTCCTACACAGAAGAAATCACCATATTACAGGAAACTGGACACACATACATTTCTCAAGGAATTTTCTATTCAGATGTCCTATTGAAGAAACTAAACAGCAATACAAATGAAGAGCTTTATTAAAATCACTTGGAATATGCTATGAAATTTAGTATCGTATAATATAAGTGCAAAATCCCCTATATTAACAGGATGTGACACATGTGAAGACAGGACATTAATATACATATAAATATAAAAGCTAAAGTATGTTTGACAGTGATATATTAAATGGCTACATAAATGTGACCATAGTTAGGAGCATATGTAATTTTGTTTCCCTCTAGCAGTATCTTCTAAAGCATTATACATAGTAAATTGCATTTAATTCTAATCCCTGCTTTCTTATATGTAATAAGAGATGTGTAGAAATATTGTAGGCACAAGCAAAACCAATGCAACAGATGTAAAACAGAGGCAGAAGCCAGGCACTTATTTGTTCTTGGCTGCCAGAGGTTTACGGCTGATCTTCTTTGACTTGTCGTTGTTCTTCTTTGGAGGTTCAGGGTTTGCCTGCATGTGTCTGCCATAAAGACTGTAAGAAAATGAGAAAAAAAATTGTGATACAACCATTAAACACAGACTTTTACTCTGCAGCACATTAAACAAAGCATCTAGTTATTAGAAAAAAAAAAAAAGGTTGTTATTTTGTCTCAACACACTGAATTTTCTATTAGCTCTCAAGCTGCAGTCATTAACATTTGGGTTTTTGTGACTTTTCAGGGGAGTAACACCAGGGAAGAGCAGACTTTTGGAGCAGTGAAGGAGCAATCAGTTTTGCCTTCAGAAACTAGCAACCTTTATTCTGCAGTTATGGGATTAAAGCTCAGAAGGCTGCAAGGATGTGTATTCAAGTAGACAATGACAAAAATTGGGTTGAACTGGAGAGATAGAGTGCCTGCTCAGAGCAAAGTGAGCATCATCCCTAACCAGAAAACCCAGGGGCTTGATAATGTGACAGAGAGCAATGGTGTCACAGCTGCCTTTGCTACTCACACATGATTGATAGCACTGGGACAGATACCAACACATCAATGCCACATTAGTAAGTACCACTGATTAAATGTTGACAAAGTATCCTACAATTAAGATGGCTAGCATTCACTGTGAAGCTAAATGGACTACATGGCTGAAAGGATCTTGCTAAATATCACACAGTAATTAATAGATAATTTATGAGTAATCCTGATTAGAATAAATTAAAAACCTACCCAAAATAAACACAGTTCAAACTTAACTTTACTTATTGACATTAAGTGCTTTTTGAAGACGCAAATTGTGGGTTTTGCTTGGGGTAATTTTCTTCATAGCTGCTGCTATGGGCCTGTGGTTTGGATTTGCACTGAAAACAGTGTTGACAATGCAGGGATATTTAAGTTATTGCTGAGCAGGGCTTGCACAGAACCAAGGCCTTTTCTGCTCCTCAGCCCACCAGTGAGGGGGCTAGGAGTGCACAAGTTGTTGGGAAGGGATGCAGCCAGGACAGATGACCCCAACTGATGCAAGGCATTTCCCAGCCCATACCACATCCTGCTCATCATAAAAAGCTGGGAGAAGAAGGAAGAGGGGACGTTCAGAGTGATCATGTTTGTTCTCCCAAGTCACAGTTACATGTGATCTTGGAGGTCTTTTCCAACCTTTGTGATTCTGTGACTCTATTCTATTTACTATTCTAATTCAATGTCAGAATATGAAAAGTTACCACCTAATTTGAGCTTTATGTTGCTGTATCTGGAAGATACTTCAACCTTGGCATTCCTGGACTGTGGAATGGGATTAAAGCTTCTTGTAAGGTGGGGTGAAGAGGCAACGCTTGCTTTCACCTTCTCAGCAGCTGAAGTTTTACATCATACTGCTAAGCAGGCTGCTGTCAAGGCGTACTGCAGCCAAACAGCCTTGCTCAAGGAAAATACAACTGTAAACTATGACATTACTTCACCTTACTGAAATTTTATGTGTGCCATCACCTCCTGTCAACAAGGGATCAGGTGGCATTTCCTGATGAAAGCAGAGAGCCCTGACCCTCTGCAATAACTACATGCTTCATATTAGCTACAATACACATATTTTTATTTTATTTCTGAAGAGACAGAGCTCCAGAAGCACAAGGCTGTATTTTATCCAAGTATGTGTATTAATCAAATATACATCCTAAATAACTACTCTTTTGGAAGGTGTTAAGTAAGTTGAAAGAGGGAGTCTATGGAAGGAGATGGTTCAGTGTTGTGAAAATCCATCACAGCAGAAGAGCACAGGAGTGACATTCAAGGAGGTTGTGCCATCAGAAACTGACCCAGGACAGAAGAAGTCAGGGAACAAGCAGCATCCTGCTCTGAATGATATGCAGTGCAGCATTTGAACCACTTTCAGCAGTAGTTTTGTAACTCTCACAAGATAGCACCAGTTAGGTAAATACAAAATTAACCTTCAAGCTAGTTTTTGGCTTTTTTGAAGCCCCTATGTGGGACTTTAGACACTGATTAACAGAAAATCCAGCGATTCACTGTATCTGAGCACAAAAGTCCTTTGTGGATAGGAACAGAAGTCCCCTATCACTGAGCTGTGTTCCACATCCTGCTGCCCCACAGCTCCTTTGCCCTGTTAGTGCCAACCCAAAGAGGACTGAGACACCTTAAGTGGCTGTCAAGTGTTACATACCCTCCTTTTGCTCAAGCTGGTTTAGGCTCCCCCTTTTTGCTTTGGAAACTCTATGTAAGTTTCCCTCTCAGGTGTTCCTTCTGGCATTCTTTCTACCTCTCATTTCCTCCTTTCTCAGAGCAAATGTTCAAGCATGTGGACTGTTAAACCTCAGAAGAAAAAGGGTGTGGGGGGAATTCTACTGACTACACAGATACTTTCCAAATGCAGGAAATGTGAATACTGACAATTTTGAATGAACTTCAGAGTTCTGGTAAAGTCTACTTGGGCAATGCCTTTTGACTACGAAAAGAAGTCCAGAAGCCACAGCATGCACTAAGCAGTAAAAATACCAACTGACTTGAGACATTTTTGATATTTTTTTGATATCTGCTCCTTACAATATTCAATGCTATTGGTGCCCCAGCAACTCCCTTTGTCCCATGCAAATACTACTTTAGTAGTCATAGATGTACATGAGTTGAAGGCATCTACAGCACTTCCACATTCTTTTAACCTATTTTCATGTCCAACCACTTCTATCAGCATGAGCACCAAAGTTTCATCCAGCAAAGTAATTACTGGGTGTGAAATAAGAAAATCGAATCAGTTTCCTTGGCAAAATGAGAGGACTTCCAATGCACATGGCTGTCCCAACTGAAGATGAGTGCTTTACAATCTTTCATGGAGTCTGCTAGTCAAAGAGCAAGGATCAGATATATTTAGATAGTACAAGCCTGCAGACACAGGGTCTCTCTCTCCTGTCTGCAAACATCAGATATGAGGAGACATATGGTCTCACAACAATATTTAAATACAATAATGACTGTAATAATGCTTCTGGGACAGAATTTGCCTTCTGTTACACTAGGGAAAAGAGAATTCAAAATTCTCAATGAACTCCTGGTACAACAACAAACACCAGTTTTATAACTCCCAGGGGAAAAAAAAGCTTCAGGGGAAAAAAAAGGCAAAATTAAAACACTAATGGAGCTTATCTGCACAGAGAAGCAATTATCTGACTTCCACAAGAACCTATAACCCTTTTGTTTTAAAAGATGTGAAGTTTGCATAAAGTCTTTAATAATTTCAGTAGTTACTAGAAAGACCCAGACACAGCTGCAGCCAAGCTGTACAAACTAGGTAGCCAGAGTCAGATGTGTTGGGCACAGACACTTGCACATCGTCCTGGGCAGCAGAGGTCAGCTGAAGACATGCCCACAGACAGTTCTGCTGCTCAGCTGACCGATGGTGATGTGCTAGAGGATGGCACCTTGACACAGCTGTTTGCATGACCAGACCCTTAGCCAAGGCACATTGTCTTCATAAACACACAAAATAATTTTGACACAGATTGTGGCTATGGTTTCAAGGCAGATTTGTGAGATAAGTGCTGATAACACATTCATGGCAGTGCCTTCCCACTAGATATTTTGAATCTTCATCTGTTCACAGTGCTGGTACAGCTCTGAGCAGGATACTACACACAGCTTCAAGGCTAAAACCTCTGCTGAAGGACAAAATCTGGAGTGCAAACAAATATTTGTGATGTTTGCAGTTTGCTAACCATCAGAAGATGGTTACTGTAACCACAGCTCACAAATTGCAGAACCTTTGTAGACTGAGCAGCTACAGTATTGTAGGCAGACTTCTCATTACATAAAAATCAAAGGGGAGATCACATGCAAGACTGAAAATGCAGAAAGGCCTCAGAAACTCTGAGCTTTCTTTCCTTGTATATATTTTTAAAATATCTTCCATGAAAAAATGTT